ATTTTTTGCACTTGATCCCACTTTGATAGCATAACAAAACTGTCAGGAAGGACATATATGAATCCAAGAACCATCGATACGCTCATTGCCCTGCCTGGTGGCAGAGAAAAAGGTGAAATGTCTATCCGTGCCCCTGGATGTGAGAGGAGGCTCCCTTCTCTGTGATAACCTTACATAATAAAAAGGTTGACAAATGTGACAGAAGCATTTACAGGGGAGTTCCCTAAAGGTAGATAGAAGTGGTGACTATTTCAAGCTTTTACAATTGTATTGACATTTTGGGTTTAGCATGGGCAGTTGAATTCCGATTCTCTTGTCTGCTTGCAGTCTTGACAAAAATGTGACCTCAAAAAAAGAGGAGGAAAAGAAGAATTGTCAGTATTTTTTGAAGTCTCATTATTTCTGTGGAAGCATGTAATATATATCTTTAATAAAAAAGCTAGGCTGAGAGGGTGGACTTATTCATTCAGTCCTCATGCCGTTTTCATCATTCTGGAAAATAGTTGCAAGGAAAAATTAGAAACCATTACTCTCAGGAGCTTAGCGTGAGAGTTACTTCAGCGCTTAAAAATTGGGTTTGGCATTCTGGCATTTTGTATTAGCTGACTCAGAAAAGCTGCTCAACTCCGCTCTTTCTACTGCCTTCTCAAAAAAGGAAGGCTCATTTGGAGGTAAGGTGATTAGCTGGGTCCGAGTGTGCTCTCAAAACAAGCTACTTATCTAATGACCTCTTATTTACACAGATTTTTATACGGTGTGTATGTATGTAAAATAGTGCTCTGCAAAAGAAAAAAATACTGGATTTTCCCCAGTTTCCTCATTTTCCAGTAAGGAATAGGCAGAATTGACAGAGTGATACTGGAGTTGCCAGTGCGCCCTTTGGAGCACAGAATCTTACTTCACATACCTGCTAGAGTCATTGCCTGAGTCTGTGGAGATACAGGCAAGTGGGATCTGGTCAACCTAGTGCAACTTTTGTTTCCCCAAAATTTGATCATGTTCGTCGTGAATTTTAACTTTCATGGAATAAGATAGTTGGACCTGTCAGAGGTTGATAATTGTTTAGAATAAATGATATTTGTAATGATGCAAAATTATTGAGCGTAGCTATGTTGAAATCTGCCTGAAGAAAATTGCAGAAAAATGTCACAACGCTGCCTGTTTTAGGAAAGGGCGGGTGAAACTTGGCATCAGTGAGCCGAGTTCTACCTATAACTCATCTGTATATGCGCAGAAGGAATTGTAGATTAGTTACTGTCACCGAGGACATAGATCCGAGTGTCACAGGCACGGTGTTTTTCTAGAACTGCGTACAATGTCCTATGGCAGTCAACAAGGCATCCAGAGCTTTAGGAAGCATTTAGAAAGTAATTGGGGCAAAAAAAGAGAGAAAACACGAGAAAATCATATTGCTTTCAATGTGTCATGTTGAAAGCCACCAGATGCGTGTACTTCCACGGAATGTGATTAAACGGTAGAAGTCATTGTCACAAGATGTTGAGCAGGCCAAAAGTATGATGGGTTTGAAGAAAATGCATTGTAAGTATTGTAGATACGGAGCTGTAATAGCACAGACTTTGCACTCGAACTCTCGCTGAGCATTCGATCTCACTAAAGGAAACCAGCTTATTCCTTTTGTAATTCCCCAGTTGCGCTTAGATTCTCAGCCTACCTGCCAGGTTCTGCCACACATAGTGTCTCCCTCTCTAGAAATCCACAGAAATTGCAAAGTCATCTGTGCACTGACCAGCGCTAATAGTTATTATTAAAAATAATTAACTGCAGGCAATTTTAAAAATAAATATTCACGATGGTTTTCAACAACAGAGACCTCAGGCTTATTTTTATAGGTGGCAGAATTCTCATTTCACTTCTGCACACAGAAACAAAATGCCTATTTGCTGACCCCCAAGTTTCCATGGCAGTCTGTATTAAAGGATCCACTTCCTGTGGAGTTGCTCATAATGCCCCGTTCCAAACAAGAATAAATGCAACACTTGAAATGAGTCTGCAATATCAAGCTGGCACTATGTGTGGTTTTCCTGGGATTTTCCCACATTTTGTGATAACAACATAAGAAGTGCAATCATTTCCAGCATGAGATGGAATCCATAAACAAAAGCAAGTAAAGCATGGATAATGCATCTGTCACCTGATGCATAACCAGGATGTTTGTATTAGTCAATATTCAGCGCAGACACACTGGCTGGCAAAGCAGTGTTTGTATTCTCATTCTTCTAAGGGAGAGTTGAAAGTATTTTTCGGGGACTTTCCAGTATTTCTTTTAATGACTTCCTCTATGGTTGCAGCATTTATACATTGGAGAGAGGTATACTTTCGGTATTGTCAGACAGTAACATTGAAACCCGAGGGAACAAATTACAGTTAGTGATTGAAAAGGCTCTCAATAAAAGCCAAACTACAGCAGCCAGGCATGGCAGGGGGAGTTTGTGGATAAGGAAATACCAGGTTGTTGCCTGGTTGTTGCTACTGTCCTCTTGACCCCAAACTGAAATTGGTGGTGAAAAAAGGAAGTGAAAATGGTTTGGAAGAGAGGTGAAGTAAGGGACCAAGCTGAGGACAGAAAGGACATGTAAACAACTCTGCTACATTTAATTGCGAGGAGGGCAGTAGAGAAATGAAGGGAGGGCGATGAACACACATGGCAGCCGTAACATGGAATGGCCTTCTGGCAGGGTTGTAGAAATACACTTTAGGTGCCAAACAAAGTGGCCAAGGGGAGCAGAAGCTTAGGTGAGACTGGGAAAAGGAGAAGAGGGACAAGCACAGGTAGTTAGCTGCAGTGAAATCTCGGGGTCCTTCCATCCATTGTGGTGCAAATGTCCTGACTCTTACTGCCTGGTCAGCTTTCTGGTGTGTTACACAGGCACCCACGCATGCACAGACGCTTACTAAATAATGTTTTCAAAGGTGCAGTTTTATCCTATGGCTTCTGCATGGCCTGATAACATTGTTTACAGTTCAAGCAGCTGAACACCTCAAACCTATGCCAAAATAGCAGGGGTCGAGGAGAGGACTGACATCAGTCTTACTGCGAAGGGTCTTCAAGAAGAAGAAAGCCAAAAACAGCTCTCTTATTTTATGATCACAGAGCTACCTGGCAGAAAGCCTTCTACTGTTTTAAGACTAGATCATAAGTAGAAGTGAAATAGTGTGCATGCCTCAGATAAATAGGTATACACTAGATTAAAGCAATAGGCTTTAGCCTTCCGCTCTCTCTCTTATTCTCAGTTCCCTTCCTGAAGATGCCCAACATGTCGCTCACTGTCATTTGGCTGCCGTTGCACTTTGAGCTGGTGATTTCAGAGAATTGGTAAGCACGGCTGTTTCATGCTACTGTCTTATGAACTGAACTGGGACCCCTATGGGAAGACACATTACACCCATGAGAGCTGTGCTCTCCAACAGCCCCCCTGGGACAGGAGATGGGGTGGAAACAACGTGAGGCACCCCAGTTTATCTGTCAGAATCCTTCCTTGGTGTTCCACCTGAGGAACCTGAATACACAGAGACCACCTGAGGAACCTGAATACACAGAGACCACCTGAGGAACCTGAATACACAGAAGTCCATGGGACCTGATGAGATGCATCCCAGAGTCCTGAGGGAATTGGCCGATGTAGTCGCCAAAGGACATGGAAGTGTTGGAGCGGGTCCAGAAGAGGGCTACTAAAATGATCCGAGGGCTGGAGCACCTCTCCTATGAGGACAGGCTGAGAGAGTTGGGCTTGTTCAGTCTAGAGAAAAGAAGGCTGCGGGGAGACCTGATTGCGGCCTTTCAGTACCTAAAGGGGGCCTATAGGAAAGAGGGGGAAAACCTTTTTAGTAGGGCCAGCTGCGTTAGGACAAGGGGTAATGGTTTTAAACTAAATCGGGGTAGGTTTAGGCTAGATATAAGGAAAAAATTCTTTACAATGAGGGTGGTAAACCACTGGAACAGGTTGCCCAGAGAGGTAGTGGAGGCCCCATCCCTGGAAACATTCAAGGCCAGGTTGGATGGGGCTCTGAGCAACCTGATCTAGTTGGCGGTGTCCCTGCTGACTGCAGGGGGGTTGGACTCGATGACCTCTAGTGGTCCCCTCCAACCCAAAACATTCTATGATTCTATGATTTTGGTGTTCCTATGTGGTGCGAGTGCTTCTCTCCCAAAGGGGCCGAGCATCGGTGGCTGCGCCTGATGGGGAGGAATAGCTGGACTATTTAAAAGAGGCAGGCGTCATGTACTTGGCACTCTCCATTTCAGGGATCAGAATAGGAAGCAGTTGTTACACAAGGGCAAATGCTTGATATTTGGGTACACAAAGTAAAGGTCACAAATTCCCATTCTGGTAGGAAATAGTGGCCTTTTGGTGTAGTGAATATTTACAACTCTGGCAGTGTTTAGGCGTCTGAGAGTAAAATTCGCTTGCCCACAAGGTATTTAAATAAGGAGCCTTGCCCTGCAGCCCACCGGTCCCCAAGGACTGGGAATAGCCTGAAGAGAGGAGAGTGAGCGTTTTACCCTACCCTGAGAGTTTGTTATTGCCTTCAGTAACGTCAGGTTACCATAACAGGGTGAGTTATGGTACCATCTACTAAAAATCTTCATTTCAGTTCCAGAAATCAGGCTGAGGTGGCAAAAATGAAGCAGATTGTTTCCCAATAAAGCAAATGAAAATGTAAACCAACAAACCCATAACAAACAGATTTTTTTTGTAGAAAACATTTAATAATACATTGTTAGGAATAATTACACTCTTACAAGCAAATTCTGTGTATGTAAGATGCAGGGTTTCTTTCCATTAGCTGACTGAGCAGCTCATTAGACATACAACCAAGTCCTTGTACAGAGCCATGAGATTGTATTTCTTAAGAAATGAAGGGTAGGAATGGAAAATCCAGTAGAAATTAAATAAATTATCATTATTTTCTCTATTGTATAGAAACTATTCAATAAATACATTTATAAATACCATGAAAATCACAGTAAATAAATACCAAACCCCTTCTCTTACAGATTTTTAAAGTCAGAAACCACAGTCTAGCCACAGGCCGACTGTGGTTCAGGAAACTGTTGTTGACACAACATACTAGTGCACTCCAGGGGAGCAGGAGGAATTACCAGTTTGCCGGTGTATTAGCAAAGCAGTAAGGCTTACTGTAAATAAGCTGTGCTGTAAGTGCATTGCACTTAACTAGTTGTGTTTGGCTGAAGTGGCTGCCAAAGGTTCTTCATTTCCTTTAGCAAACCACTTTTCCTATTCAGTGTCTTCAGTGTCAATGAACAGCGCGTCCCACAGACAACACTGACCATTTTGAAAGACCTTCTTAAATAGATGCAGTTAAATAAATAAATAAATAAATAAATAAATCGAACCAATCCATAATTAACATAATCACACTGATGCAGAAGGTGGAAGGTGGTACGCTGCCTGAATGATGCTTTTCTCAAATGTTTCTCTCAACAGAGGAGCAGGAGCTGTTCCCAGGTTTTTTCTGTCTTGGCGTTTCTTAGAGAGGCGAGTCAGAATTGAGTTGAGCCCTGTTAAGAGGTAAGAAAAGAAGATAATTTAAAAGGAGGTCCAGGAACGGTTATCATTGCTTAGCATTGCACGGACAGCTAGGGATGAGTGGTCTGTTTCCAACCCTATGTGCTATCTTGAGGCACAGAGAGAATAAAGGTGATGCTTCAAAATCAGTGACTGAAATCCCAGTGTGTGCACATCTGGTGCCCAGCTAGGAAACTTCTGCAGCATGAATTTTGGCATTTACTCTCATCAAGAAGCTCATTAACTCAGAAATACGAATTATTAATGCATACTACTGTAAGTAAAGGGAAGATGAATTTCTTAAAGCCTCATTTTTCAAAGGGGGCCAAACACTTCCATGTTCCTTTCCCTCCAGACAGAGTTGCTGGTACTCAAATGTTTAGTAGTGACATATCAGCTTGAACAAGGACCCTGCAGCAGAGTCAGAAAGACTAAGACTAATTCTCTTACTAAGCAGCAAGTTTCCTTGTTCTTTAAATCTGATTAAGAGAAAATGGAAAGTATCACTAAGAAATCCTAAAATGGGCTTTTGGGGGAGGTTTACTATTCAACTGCCCAAAATGAGAGGGAATGGGACTTACTTGGCCAAAATTGCCTTTATGATCACTTGTACCCAGGGAGCAGTGGGGTCCAGGCACACCTCTTTGCCGTCCTTCAGAGTAGCTCTGCAAAACAGGGAATAAAGAAAATTCAGGAAACTGCTACATGGATTTGTTTTGCTCACAGGATGTAATGTTGCATTTTTAGATCAGTTAGTATGAATTCATCTCAACTGCTCTAGGTTAGACTGGGCCGGTTTGTTATGTGTCACACAACTGAGGAGACTAACACCATCCAGACGTTGTGTGAGCCTGGGTGCCTGCTCTCAAAGCAGTCACACATTCCCAAAAGTCTTTCTTAATATGTATGGGTAGTTGGTTTGAATTTGTTTACATTAATAAAGCTTTCTTACACAACGGCTGAAACCTCCAGTGGTGAAAATGTGGGTCAGCAGCAGAAGGATTTCAACACTTCAGTCCCTCCTCTATGCTATTCAAGACCAGATTAGTTTCATTGTTTCCCTAAATCTCTTATTTCTCTCTGAGACTGATGCAAGCTGTTTTAATGGGAGTTCTGCCTGCCTAATAAATGCAGGATTTAAACTACATTATTGCCTCGTGTATTAAGAACTGACCAGTCCTTGAAATTCATGTTCTACAAACAGAAATATTTAATACGTCCCATGATAGATAAATAATGATCAGTTCATGAATACGTAGGGTCATAAAGAGGATGGAAAATCGTGGTCTATTTCTTAAAACCGTCTCTCTCAAAAGAATAACCAAATCCGACTCTGTCATGTCAGCCTGCTGACTGTCGTACTCGTCACGAAGCGTAAAAGCCCCTGCAGCAGCAGCAGGGTGCCCGTGAAGGAGAGGGAAGCTCTTGCAGAGCTACTTACATGACTTCGACGTTCTTGCAGTGGGGGCCGCTCTGTGTCAGCTTCACATCCTGAATGTTTCTGGGAGGGATGAACTTGGAGTGAGTGGCTATGCACTGGCACCGGAGCTCCATTCCCATCCTTGCCAGGGTCCTGCCTGTGAGCGGAAAAGGAAGGTCGTGGTTTGAGAGGCGGTCTTACCATCACCATATCAGACACAAAGCATGACTGCTCTATTTTAACGACATTCTCAATTAAAATACTGCATTTGTCCAAGCTGCCTAAATCCTGACAGTATAAAGATCGCTTGCTTATTTCTTTCAGAGGAGCTGATGCCCAAGTACATTTAAAACTAAATTAACACATCTTTTTGAAATAAACCCACATATGCCGTGGTTGCTTGTACTGACCACGCTGTACGGTTAGTTGCATCGTTTTAATAGCTGGACCGACAAACTGGCAACCCTTCACAAGACAGAGCCCTAGATTTTTTCGTTCATGGGAGGCTTGTCCGTGCTTCTATGTTTGTATTGTTTGTTCCCCCTTCCCAGCTGTATGTTCCTTGCTTGAGGCAGTATGATCATTCAGTAACAAATACGAGATCATAAACTGTTCTTTGTGTGGGAAGGGGGAGAAACACTCAAACACTTAAGAAGGAAGATCCTGTCTCTAGCTGCATACGCTTCAAGTGCAACAGAGAAACAAAGCACATTTAAGCTGCATCCTTAAAATTTTTCCCACAAGATGTCAGTAACTCTTCAGTACAAGGGCTGCGTGGTAGATTTCTGGCTGAAGAGAAGTTGCTGAAAATATCTCAAAAGAAACTAATTTGCTGAAACAAATATAACGCTACCTCTCCACAAGGACAGGCTTCTCGATAGATGCCTAGACAACACTACAGCCACGGGGATCTCGGGAGGGATTTCCTTACCTTGAGACATAGCCGCCGAAATCAGGAAAAGAGCCAGGACAGCCACAAGTTTGCCGTTCATGATTAGACCGGGGTTTTTCACTGGATCGTTTAGCTCTGGTTCTGTGGAGCAGTGACCTCTCTTGTCCCGGAGGGTTGCTGATGCCTGTCTGGCCGATCCATCTTGCTTATATACCATTTTGTGCCCAGCATGTGTGCTCTGCTAGCCTGTGGGTTGCGTTAGAGGAATTTCCCAGATGAAGAAAAAGTGAGTCACATGACTGTTGTGAAACTCCTTGCTAGATGACGAGTAATTATTCTGCTGAGAATGATAGAATATATTTTTTTTTTAAAATAGGTAAGTAATAGCCATGCATTCTGATTCCTTTTGTAGACTTGTAAATGTTGTGCTTTTTCTAATGCATACCCTTAATTAGTAATACAACTTTACGATGGCTTCAGATACATTTTAGTTGTGTTTTGTTTTTATTATTTTCTTTAGGTAATAACTGTTCTTCATAGGGATGCCAGACCTAGACTCAAGATATGCAATTTATTATCACTGTTTATGGTGATAGCTTCTACTTACCTGATTTTAAGCCTGATTTTAAGAGTGGAAATTGGGCTGTGCTGAAGTCGCTGAAAAGCTTTTTCACTGGGGTCAGGATTTTACCTCAGCATTATTTTGATGTTAATGATTTTATTTTTTTGTTCTTTTCTTTTTTCCTGTTCAAGTTGCATCATACAAAGTAAATTAATCTCTAACACGCTCTGTTCAGTAAAGGAATTGAGGCTGCAGTATTCAAAGGTTCCTGTGGGAAGCAGGTACTTAATTCTGAACGGCTTTGAAAATCATGCCTGCGTTTTTCATGTCACACACGTTTATAATGATAAACAGAGGAAGCTTTGAAAGCAAACAAAACGTCTTTTCTGTATTTTTTTTCAGTGACCGTAACCGTAGGTCTTAGCACAGGGAAATGGCATTAAGTGTTATGGCACTGCTATAGACATTTCTGTTAAAGAACCTTGGTGCATGAATGCTGAGTGTTTATTTGCTGTGGCTGGTAGAGATATTCCCTTGCAAGGGAGCCAACTTCAAGGGAAGACTTGGGCTCAAGTGCTAATCTGTTGCTTAAATGAAGACTTGGGCTTTTAACCCATCTGGAGAGAGTGAGATTAGGAGTTCTGCTTCAGTGCCGTAAAAACGTCCTTTTGACAATGCTGATTTTTGCTGCTTGTCATCTCCAGCCTCAAAACTTCATGTTTCTGTGATCTGTGGACTTATGGAGGTGCTTCTCCCCAGCTCCGAGGAGCTTGTAAAAACTCAATTATCTTTAGCATGTAAAACATTATAATTTATTTATAGTAATAATTTAATATTTTGCCCATAATTTATTATGGCTTACTGTGTGCCATTTGTCATTAACTTACTTGATAAAAGGAAGTCTGTGATGAAAATTCATCTGTTTCCCATCACTATGTCAGCTAGCCCAAGAAATGGTATCGCCAAGTTTGTCTCTCCTGCCTCTCACTGAGTACTGAGTCAACAAAAGGTACCGATTCCGACCCCTAATGGTGCTTCTCCTTGGCTGGACGTCTTAGAGAGCTTTACTGAAAAACACATTCAGTTCTCTGACGGCGTGAAAAAGGAGAGGATTTCACCAGGTACTGAGGGCTATGTTCTATCGTTTATGTTGTATTACGTTGTATAGGTTATGTTACCTTCACAGGGGGGTTTCACTGCCGTCAAGCGGTACATGTTGGAGCTTTAACCAGTTTACCCGAAATGAGGCTTTGCTGATTCTTTCTCTTGGATTCTCTCTCTTTCTCTCTGTGTCTCTACATATGTATGCCCACACACAGGGTAATTAAAATTTGATTAGGGATCCCACTTTTCTTAGTTCCTAATGTCATTCGTGTCCGAGGCAAAAAAAATAAAATTCCCCCTCAAATCCCCAAGTAAAACTGATGACCGCTTGTCCCCCTTACCACTAGACTCAGCTATTTCCTGCGTGTGGCAGTAACACATCTGCAGAAAACCCCGGGGTCAAAAGTGAAACCAAGAGCCTGCTCCACCTATATGATTAACCCTGCCCCTGAGCTAAGTATCTGTCTCAAAGAGCAGGATGTTTGTAATGAAATCAAAATCCACTAAAAAGCACCTCCTCTACCTCCGCTTTTTCTCTGATGTGACACGGTTTCACCAGGACTATGTGAAGGGGGTGTAATAGAGACAATAGTGGCATAAAAAGGTTGGGACATGAGATCAAGCCCAGAGGCCAAGCACTCCTAACCTGTGTTCCTGGGAGTGCCCTGCTTCGCCCAAGTTCTCCCCACATCCCTTCAACACTTTGCCCAGGATCTCATCCCAGCCCTCGCCTTTGGGAATTGTAAATCCTTTATCTGATTTTGGCAGCGCGTGTTTTCCCGCCAGCCATCAGAGATGACTTGGGCAAATGGAATTGCTGCTCCTTTTGGAGGATAACGTCACTGAGTGAGCTGATACCGCCGCAAGCGGAGCCCTTCCATGCTCAACCCTATTTAAAGCACGCTTGTAACGAACAAAACAACAGTTATGCAATAGTCCAATTACTGAAAGGCTGCTGAAAAGGGAAGTAAATACTTCCCTTGCCTGGGATTTAAGGCAGGGTATAGGATGTTTTCTCCATGTTGTGGGATGGAAACTACTGGTTTTTTTCTTTTTCAGACTCTTTGCCTTGTCTAAGGAACGTAGAAGTCAAAAGGGAATCTTTTGGGTTCTTGACTGGGATCGTTTAGAGTCTTTGCATGTAGCAAAGGACACCCAAACACAAGGGACACAGTGAGGGGGGTTCATGCGTACTCTCGTGACCAAGACCATCACGAGGGATGGGGGAGAGCTGGGCTCCAGTCCCTTACTGGTTTGAGTTGCCCCTGTTCCAGAGGAATGCTCCAGCCTCTGGGCTGATAAAGTTACTCTATCTCTAAGAAAATTAGGAATCCGTCTTGTTTTAGACAAATTCAAACCTCTCATGTGAGAAATTGTGCACACAAGTTCCCAAAGGCCCAGGAGACAAAGCTTTCGCTGGAAGGAGGTTTCAGCCAGCGCAAGGTGAACTCTGTCAACTCCTGTCTCCTGTGCCTCCTCTCTACCAGCCCACTCTTGTTCCTCAGGCAAAAAATCCCACTCTGTCTTCTGAAGCCACCACCTCTTCCCCACAAAGAGCTTGGCATTCACCTGCCATTCCACTCAACCTGCCAAGAGCAGAAGGGGCAAGTACAGGGGCTGGGAAGTAATCGCTTCCGCTGGTCAGAATCCGGGCACGATGTTGTACAAACCCTTGTGGAAGTTTACAGTGAGGTGGAGTGTAGGGAGCGGATACGTAAAAAGCAGAATGTCTCCTAAACATCTGGGGTTTCACTTGCTATATGTGGAAGTGCTAGCCGACAAAGGAGAAAAGCTTAGGTCAGTTTGTGATTTTTTTATCAAACTTAAGTGCCTAAATACAGATGGTGACGTTCCCTTAGTCAGATCATGGCAAGTGCTGGGCTTTCCTGAATCCCTCTGGAATCACAAAGTGGCAGTACAGCTTTTTAATTGATTTGCCTTTTAATTTATGTATTTATAAATATTATACTATAAGTGTGTATTTCTGTGACTGCATATTTAAGTTACATGTTTCAGCTCTGCTTGAAAACAGTCAATTCTGTATTGTAGCTTTCAGTTAAAAGACTGTTGTGGGTTAAATGAAATGTTTCGTTTGATCCAATTCAATACGGAAAGTCACTGACTATTAATAGAAGGTATCTAGTAATACTGGAAAATGATACATTAATATTCATTATAATATTAACATAAAATATTAGCAAATATTAATAAATATTCATACTAAAAATAAATTTGATCTACCTAGTATTAACAGAGGAGATACTAAGTCCAACTAGAGAACTGCTAGGGGCCAGCAGCTGGGGTTTTACCGGCTCTGTGAGGGCTGCCTTCATTGCTTTAGTTGCATTTCCCTTTCATGAGTTGGGCAGGAAGTGTTTTGTGACTGTGGAAATAAGATGGAAGTGGAGGGAGGAAACATGTGGCAAGTTTTAAGAAGTTCGTGCCAGGAACTTTTGATTAAATTAGAAGCGGTCAGTAGACATAACGGATGTCACGCATTCATCCCTGACTCTTAAAATGTCACTTGCTGTCGTCTTGCTGTCTGCTTACATGACAGCCGTGCAGCTTGGCAGATGTTAGCCTCAGCGCCTTCCGGCAGCGCAGTGGCGGCGGGGCGTGCATAGAGATGGAGAGCTTCTCTGTAGCGCCTCGGTGAATGTAGGTAGAGAGCCTGCCCATGAAAGAAGCACGGAAGTATCAACATCTGAATCTTGAGTAAAAATACACCCTTCAGTATTATAAATGAGATCTGTTTTGCCTAAAAGACGTTATATATAAACTTGCTGATCCATTGGATCTCAAGCCACTGGATAGGTCATATCTCACTGGTTGCCAAAACTTGGGGGGGGCAGGAACAGCCGATGCATTTACTCAGCTTACAAATTTGGATTTGAATCCCGAGTTGCTCTGGTGGGGGCCGGTCCCTATCAAGAACGAGACTGTCCTCAGAGTTTCCCACAGGTCTGGTTGCAGTCTGATATTCTGTCTAGCCTGCAGCTATTCCCCAAGCTCTCCCACCCTGGGGCTCGGAAGATCAAACTCCACAGGGCGGTCGTGATATTTTTGCCTGCAGTCCTCCTTTGCTCTGACCAGATATCTCTGGTCTGGTGACTGCTGCTAGAATCTGCACTTTGGCGCTCTCTGTCCTCAGAAACTAGATTTATATTGCCAGGCATAAACGCCGTGTAGCAAACCATTAAGACAAAACATCCTGAACACCCTTTTTGATTGTAGAAAGAAATTAACCGTGAATGGAATGGGAATTCACACATTAAACTGGTAATTAATCTTACAAATAGTCTCCTGGACCCTTGAGCAGCAACAATCTAACATAATAAATAGGTAAGCTGCAAATTCCTTGCGCAAAGGAAAATATGTGGTCTATTGTAGTATCAGGTAGAACTAACATGTGAGAAGAAAAATTGCAAAATATTTCCCGTTATATTAAAATAGATGATGTGTACTTTTCTTCAGAATTGTGGCTTGTAAACAATATGGGCTGTATATAGGTACATTCGTGCGTCTCTGCCTGCATCTTCCTAGCTATAAGTGAAAACTACAGCACAATAAATAGCCCTTCAGAAATTACCCGGGTAATTTAGTATCTCTAATTTTAGCTGCTCCCTTCTGGAAGCCATTAACGCACAGTCATGAGGCTGCCCCGAGGCTGGCAGTGACTTAGAGCTGCTGCTGAGACACAGCAC